ACCAGTTTGGTTACAAGGTAATTAATGCATCAGTACTTTATTTTACACAATTCTACTGTAAACCTTCATTTTCCATTACATTCATACAGTGATATTCTCACATGAGAAATGCATACTATTTTGCTAGTAAAGATGGTTTTACAAATATGGAAAACATATATTTTATACTATTTCAAGTACAAACATACATTTTACACCATTACAAGAGAACAAACATACAAAACAGTCGGGTCTTGGGTAAAAAACTACTTTTCATTTTAGAAGAAAATATAGGATTTTCTGGGAAGTATACAAACATTTTACTAAACAAACACAAACATATTAATGAAAAAAATACAAACACTTGACGTTAAATACTTATGAACTCACCAACTTAAATGTTGATACTCTCTTTCAAAATAACTTGTATTCTCAGGGAACCAGTAGACAGGTATACTGGATCAGGTTTTGAGAAGACGGAGCATGTTCAAGACTCGTCTTTTATTTTGATATATATATATATATATATATATATATATATATATATATATTTTTGGTGTCTTACAACTATACAAAGAACACAAATGTATTAACTATTCTATTAATGCAATGGATGTTGTTGCTTGTTTTACTATTGTGCATTGTTATGATACTGTAATGTTTCCGCCATCTTGGTTTGGGGGTGTGACAGTCTGATTTTTGGCCTTTTTAGCATTCCAATCACCATTGTGTGAACATGACCTTGAAGGATTTCTTTTGGAAGATCTCCCCCTTGGCAGGTTCTGCCAACCTTGTTCATAGTAGGGAACATATGAACGACGTGGACAATTTCTAGCAATGTGACCGGGAGTCCCACAGTTAAAACAAGTCTGTCTTTTCAAATAAATAAGATTGTGACTTGGTCCTTGTCCAAAAGAAGTTTGTTTCAAGGAACTTCCACAATCACAAGCACATGAACATTTATTAGACTGTTTAACAGATTTTTGTGGCTTGAATTTTTCAACAGTGGGAGTATCATCATCACAAAATTTTTAATTATTTTCAGCAGATCTAGAATTATTTTTGTTCTGCTCATGCCCATCTTGCATTGAGACCTTATCTGCACATGAGGTAGAAACATTAGTATCGTTCACACTATCATTATTTACTGTCTCAACTACAGTGGGTTTACCATATTGTAGGTGTGCTTCCCTTACCTTTTCTTCCTCAGTCATAGGAGTAAAAGTGTAGTTATCATTGAATGGAGGAGGAACATTATCATACCCTAGACCTACATTCTTTTTGTCTTGCCATCTAAGTTATTTTTCAATCATTGTCTCAACTTTCTTACTTGACACATCAAATTTTTTAAAATTAAAATCTGCATTTTCAAACTTAATTTTCAATGTGTCAAGCTCGGCAGTTAGACTGACAATCTTTTCTTGAGCATAATCATATTGTTCACATTTAGTGTTGTATTCTTCCTTAATTCTTTTTAGATCTTTGGTTTGGGCCTATAATTTTTCTTTTAAGGGTGTTTGGGCCTTTCTGAGAGTATATCCTTCATATTTAAGATCCTCAATTTCCCTAATTAATAACTCATTATGCTCACTGTATTTATTTATTTTATCTTCACAGGACTGAGAGCATGGGGTTTCAATTGCCTTCTTGGTATTGTTGTAGGAACTCATTATTTACCAACGAAAGGAATCTAATTGAGTAAATGGATTTTAACCGAAAACTAAGAAAATAAATACCCTTTGACCGAAAACCTTGAAAATCAACTCTTTGTCCGAAGAGAAACCTGACCGAGAACAAGGTTTTCTTGACCGAGAACCTTAGTCGGAATCTTCAATAACCGAGAAGTTGCTCTGAAGATGTTGACTGAAGACTCAAGAGCACCGAGAAGCGAAACTGACCTAGCCGAGAACAGTGAGTCACCACCGAGAACTTAAGGCTGAGACCGAGAACACCGAGGCTGGGACCGAGAAGCTGGAAACCCTAACCGAGATCGATCAGCTGGCCGCCGAGAACTCCGAAGTTTGCCGCCGAAGACTCCTAGACTTGACCAAAGACGCCCAAAAACACGAAATTTGTTTTAATTAAGACCAAATTCAATCATAGTCTTCAACACAGTGAAAAACACGAAGAATAGCAGCAACAATTTTCGTCTCAAAAAAACTAAAAACACCAAGAAAAACTCCAAGAAGTGTTTAATATCCTTGAATCGATTGATACCTATTCAAAGCTCTGATACCAATTGTAAGTCCCAAAACACTTAGATCAATAAGATATCAATCAAACTATCTAAAGAATGCGGAATATAAATCAGATATTGATTCAAGAACACACAAATAACTCTTAATGCACACGATTTATTAGATGAAATCGTCTGGTACACCAAGAACCTCTTAAAAGTTGAATACCATAATAATGAACAACTCGCTGCTCTCTCTATCTCTCTAAAACTCGATCTCAACTTCTTAGAATCACCAACCTTTTTCACGGCTGAAAACAATACTATATATATACCTAGACCTAATTACAAAGGCCCAACCCAAAACCCAACCGAAATCCTCATTATGCCCACCGAAATCACATGGTGATTTCGGTCCAAACACCACCGAAATCACATGGTGATTTCGGTCCAAACACCACCGAAAACATGGTGTTTTCGGTCCTAGACCGAGAGCTCTAAAAGCTATCAAAAGTAAAGTATAAACCACAAATCATGCCCTAACAAATTTTATATTAAAATATAAATATTTGTATTAACTTTCTTGTGAGTATTTTTTTGTGGAGTAAATATGTAAGAATGTATTAGTTTTTATAATTGTTGCATTAAACTCTAAAGTAGTGAATTAATAGGTTTATTAAACTGTGAATATAGTATTTTAAGCTAACAATGCATGATTTTATATACAGATTTGGCTTAAAAGGAATGATGGTTGCGACGTTGACATAGATGGTTGGTGCTGACGTGTGGTAGTTGGTGGTGATGGTAGAGTTTGGGTTTGAATCTTCTAAATTAGTGAATTAGTGATATTATGATTGTATTTAAATTGTGAATTTTGTGTACTAAACTATGAATGAACTGTATTAAATTTTGTATTTTGTATAATTTTTGTGTTAAAATATGAATCGATGTATGAATGAAAATATTAGACTGCAAAAATTACAATTTTACCCTTTTCGTACCAAAAAGACAAAAAAAATCAGGATTTTAACATGTTTAATAAGTATTATGTAAATATTTACTTATAAATTTGGGTTCTTATGGTTCTTAATCTTGTAAATATTTGAACTCCTCCCTATATATATATATATATATATATATATATATATATATATTATATATATATATATATATATATATATATATATATATATTATATATATAGGCTTAGGTTATTTTGTTTTTACTAACTATTATGTGTCAGAATGCATAGATCTTGACCACCGGATGGAATAGAATCTAAGTTCAAGATTTGAGAGTCTATGATATTACAATAGGATAACATACACCATATAATCACACAAATTTCAACATAAGGGTACTTTGGACAATTAACTATATTTTAAAAAGGAAATTTCGGATTTTTAGCGATACTTACTTCTCTTAATTTTAAAAATCTGAATTTTTAAATTAATTCAATTTTAATTCTAATGTAATTTGTAAAAATAACCGATTTTATTCCGTCAGAATGTTTTTTTGTTATAATGATGTTCTTTCATAATTTTATTCTATTAGAATATTATTGTATAATCACAAATTCTTGAATCTCCAGTTGAAGAATAACAACATTCTAATATATTCTTATATATCCGAACTTAAATACAAATACATACATATTCTTATAAATTAATAGTCTTATACATTTTAATATAATTATACATATTCTAAAAGAATATCAACAAAAATGAATAAAAATCTTAAAAAATAACAACATTCTTTAACTTTGAGAGTGATCAATCTATTATGCATTCTTCAAGTTATTCCTATCAGGTCTTCAACACATTCTTCCAGTCATCCTATCACAAATACAACAAAAACTAAGAATGGTTAAGAACATCTTATCACTTTATATATTCTGACAGAATACATAGAATACATTCTAGCAGAATATATAAAATACATTCTAACAGAATACATAGAATACATTTTAGCTAGTTTAATTGCCACTATAAATAATTAAAAACTTGTTACTTGCAACTTGCAATCGCATTTCTAGATGATAAAACTTAACAAACCAACAATTTGCAACTTAACAATCTTGAAATTTTTGTACAATAGAAAAAATAGTAAAATTTAGCAAACCATTCTTACAACAATGATATTCTATGAGAATGCTCTTGAAAGAATGCTCATAGAATGTATTCATTGCTTCATGATGCTTTGCTGAAAGGTTTTCAATCAATTCTTACACTGTCATTTACCATGTTTGTTAGAATAATAGGCATCAAATCAATGAGTGTTACTAACCTCATTCTAAAAGAATATTGTGTTTTCTCATTCTGAAAGAATTTGCAGGTTTGAATACACCAAAATAACATAACTACACATATTAACTTCAATTCTAAAAGAATATTTCATTTCCGTTTGTTGCTTAAACTTCAATTCCTTAAAAAAATTCTAACATAATATTATCTACTTTACTTTAAACAAAATATTTCAACACAAGTATAAACATGTTATTATAATTCTAACAAAATAGTATGTAGTTTAGCTTAACATATTCTAACAGAATCTTCCCAATAAGTCTAACATATCAAACTTGTCAATTGTATGACCAGAGACAATGACAATGTCAACAAAAAGAAAAAAAAAAACTACACATATAGTTTTTTCTTCAAACAAAAAATAAATTGGTAATCCATTATCATTGCAATCGACATATTCAATATATATTATAGTATATGCATAATTCTTATACTATGGAAAAATTAAGGTGAAAATTCGATTAAATATATAACCATAATAATGATAATACCTGAAAATGATAAATTACTTTGTGAAATTCTGGAAAATCTTAAAATGGGATTTAACTGATCCTTCGCTCTTCTTGATAAATCGCCTGTCAGATCAAAAAAATCAAATAGTTTCAGGTTACTGTCGACGCAATACAACTTTGTTAGCCAAGAAATACAACTTTGTTTGCCTTGATGGCCACTTGTCGTTGAAGTTAAGCAGAACCAAAAAAGAAAGAAAAACAAACCTTTTTATATGTTTTAGGTTACTGTCGACGCAAAAGAACCAAAATTCATGTTTTTTTGTTAGCCAATTAAATCATAGTCATAAGAAAACACTTCAATAATTTTAGAAATTGATAATCGACTTTACAATCTATTTTAGAACCTGGTCTGGACAAAGCGGGAATAAATTTGCCGTCGATTGTAGAGATCGAGTTTACATATTCGATTTCACCTCATATGTAGTGATACCATCATCGTCGGTGCAGGGGACCAACACCGGACAAACGAAGGGATTGGTGGCTGCAGGTGGAGGGTCGTCGGTGAAGAGGGTGTTTACCAGGATCGAAAAAGGAAGAACACAAAACCCTAGGATGAAGGATTTTTGGCTTGGGTGGAAGTCGGCATTTTATGGTGACGCTGATGAAACGAACGATAATTTTTTAAGGGTTTATAAACTAATTATCTTGATTAAATGCTATTAAAGGGAAATTGACCCATTATTTTAGGGATTATAATTTTGGAATATAATTAATTGTACATACATAATGACTAAATTACCCTTTATTATTTAATTAATGATTTCCTTTTTTCTAAATTCTAATTGGTGCATTTAGGCACACAATATTTGCTAGAAACATTTGAACCTAGCTCTCTCTCTCTCTCTCTCTCTCTCTCTCTATATATATATATATATATATATATATATATATATATATATATATATAACTGAATCATTTTCTTCTCTTCCTTTAAGGTCATCCCCAATGGGGATTTAATGGTGAGTTTAATGGGGAAAAAGGGAGTTCAATACATAAACCCACCATTATGGGTGGAGTTCAATGAAGTGGGGTTTAATCCCCATTGAACGGTGGTATGCAATTTTTTTTTTTAAACCATTTCACCAATAAAACTTTGTATTTAAATAATTACACCCTACATATATACACAAGGTATATTTCATTATTTTCTTATTTATAATAATTGTAATTTACTTTATGTTATATTGAATAATTTAAATCATCTTATAATATTCTAAACAAAAAAATATTTAAATCTTAAAAATATTTTAAAACAATAACATATACAACAATCATTAATTAATAATTTACAATTTGTAACTTTTAATTTCTAAATAATGTAATATTATAGTTTTACAATATTATTTATAAAAAGATATAATTAAATGTTGATGTGGAAATTCATTAAACTCTTAAGAGTTTAATGGAGTGTAGAGTTTAATGGATAAAATGATATAGTTAGTGGAATGCTGATGTATCAATCCATTAAACTCTTAAGAGTTCAATGCATTGGAAATGGTCTAAGAACAACTACAACTGATGTATCAATCCATTAAACTCTTAAGAGTTCAATGCATTGGAAATGGTCTAAGAACAACTAAAAGCGGGTGTCTTATATTATTTATGATTCATGATACATAAGCAAATGTTGATGGAAACCAAAGGAATCAGTTATTCGTTTTATTATGGGTGTATTATATATCATCATTGATGCAAAAGCAAAACCTATACTGCTACTATAAGCAATGGAAAGAAAGAAGAGAAATATTTGAGCGAGTGATTTTATCTGGATACGTGCCACAATACATAATCTCCCAGGGCAAGGGCAGGCAGACTGTAGAAAAAAAGGGTTTGATTTTGATATGCACAGAAATAGGATAGGAGTGGGTGTGGGTGTGGGTGTGGGTGTGACTATAACTTATCTGCAATTCTGACCATGGCATCGGCGAGCTTATTAAGAACAGCAAATAGGGTATTTGCATGATCTTTTCGTTGGTCCCTGTCTAACTGGGAGTTGGTGTTTTGGATTTCTAGTTGGGAGCTAAGCAATCTGCCATTTCTTTCCATGGCTTCAATCAGTTGCTTCTGTAAAGACATTTCCTCCTCTTCATCTTCATCTTCATCTGCATCTGCATCTATGGCTGGACGCTTCCTCTTCCTACTACTTCCTTGATGAGCAGTTCCATCAGCAGCTTCATCAGGATTTATTGGGGAACTTTTTTTATCTTGCATCAAAAAAGCAATGCATTATGCATGTTAATCCCAGGTGGTTGGTTGTGTAATGCGTATGCCAATTGGCTCAAATACCTGCTGCTGCTGCTGCTGTTGGGACTGGATGATGATGATCATGCTCCTGAACCTCTTGTGAGAAAGGCTCATACTGAGTCGCTGCAAATTAACAATCCAGACATCCACATAATCAGTCACTTCACACACACACACACACACACACAAACACTTATCAAACAAAAATATCTTACAAACAGGGCGGATCACCTGAAATTGGGGTAGGAGCTTTCTCCGGACTACCTATGACCTCATCAGAAAACAATCCATCATCTACCGCTGCCGCCGTCCTCCCACTATCAAACACAACCTCGTTCTCTGTCTCAGCAGCCGAAGGCGCTAGTGAAAGAACCAACGACTTGTCTCCCTCCGCCTCCGCAGAAGAGGGTCCTCCACCATCCAGTATATCATAGACTTCTCTATCGAAAAATCCAGGCAACTTCCTCTCTCTCCTCAAATCGTTTCTCATGAGCCAAAAAGATTCTGCTTCGTCTTTGATCTGGGACTCCCATTCCTTGATTTTCTTGAAATCTCCGGCGAGATTGCTCCATCTTTTCCGGCACTGAACGGGTCCCCGGTTAACCCCGTGACGCTTACAGTAAGAAGAGACGGAGGACCACTTGGGCTCGACCTGAGCGGAGCCGAAAGCGAGAACGGCGCTCCTGCCCCTGCGAACCCGGTTCTCTGCGACTCTCTTGCCTTGGATAAGCACAAGAAGTTCTTGCCTGGTCCAGCGAGGTAGCCTGGGAGCTTTGTTGAGGTCTTCGCCGCCGTTGCCGGTGCCGGTGTCAAGAACGACGGGAGCGAGAGTCAATCGCTCAAGCGCCATGAAATGAAGCAGTGCACGTGACTTAACGGGAAAGACGGTTACCGGGTAACGGCGTTTTGGTAATAAATGAGTAAATGGTTATGGTAGGAGGGGTCCGTCCGTTTGGAGTTTGGAGAAGGGAAGGGTCCTTAATCCCATTCCTATGTCTATCGCATCTTTATTTTTAATAATAATAATAATAATAATAATAATAATTTGGGTTTATTTTATTTTATCTTCAACAAACAACAAAAGCAATCGTTGTTATATTATGTTAGGTTAGGTGGGGTGAGAAAGAAAGAAAGAAAGAAGGGGAGAAAGGAAGTAAAGAGGTGGTATAATTAAGGATTGATCTTGTGTTCGAATTGAATGAAGAGAGAGGTTAGTGGAATCCTGCTGCTGCTAATGACTTTCTTCTTTCTTTCTCTAATCTCTACCCACCCGGACCCCCAAAGATTATCTTCTCTCTCTTTTTTTTTTTTTTTCTCTTTTTACAAAATTAATACGTTGTTTTCAATTTAAATTGTTTTATTATATAAATCACAAAGAAAATAATAATAATAATAATAAGGGGGTGTGGGTAGCCTTATCTCCAAATGGGCAGGCACCCTTCTTTCCACTTCCATTGTTGGATGTCCCCACCCACCCTGGCCCACATCCATCTTTGTATTGCATATAATTTAAGGTCGCTATCTTTAACATTAATAACAGGCTAACGCGTTTATAGCAAAGCATAATTCCAATGGTATTTGCTTTAACAAAACCACAATATTTTGTTTATGGTAGGACATTATGATGGACCACAATCACAAGACATACATACATGTATTCAGAAATACAGCATCTTCTTTTTTACCGCCTTATTATTAATGATCTTTGTTTGTATGGTCTCGTGTGTTATCCAACTAACATCAACATTAATTAATCCCCTCAAACTTTTGTTATTATTATGATTATGATTAAACACACCACTAGTGATTACATGGGATGAAGTAAGAAATACGTATGAATGATGTATCTAGAATAGGACCCGACCGGACAGCCCATGGCATAATATATATATATATATATATATATATATATATATATATATAGGTGAAATCGGTTGAGAACTTATAGTTTTCCGAGAACCCGACAACTAAAGGTGGAGCGTTAGATTAAAATTAACTCATTAAGGGCATGATCGTCATTTTACCGATCTCATTTAATGTTTAATTTTTTTTTGTTATTAGAAATAGTAATAAAATGTTCTAAAAATTAACATAATAAATCAAATTTCAGATTTTTTTTTTTAAATAATTTTCGATTTTTTTTAAATGGAGATTTTTTTACTTTTTTCAGAAAACATAAATTTAAAAAAAAAATTGAAAAAAACATATTTTTTTTAAAATGCATTTTTTTTAAAAAAACAGCATTTTAAAAAAAACTATATTTTTTCCAAAAAAAAACTACAATTTAAAAAAAATTGTAATTTTTTCAAAAAAACTGCAACTTTTCAAAAAAAAAAAAACTGCATTTTTTTAAAAAGTAAATATTCAAAAATTAGTAAATTAAAAAAAAAAAAACTAGAATATTTAAAAAAAACTCTAACTTTTTTAATCAAAAAATCAAAGTTTTAGGTGCATATATGCATTTTTTTTCAAATACATATATGCATATATCTTATATTATAATATTCGTAAGTAAATCATAAAAAATCTCATTTTTATAAATCAATCTACAAACATAATAATATAAGAATTTTATTTGATACAAAATACAATATAAAAATAAAAAATCCTACAAAGATTCACAGTGTTGTCATTTTTCATATCAAAATATTCATTTTTTCTTCAATGTATCACTTTTCACATCTTCAATATTTTCCATAAATTCTTCAAAATTTACAATAAAATTAAAAAAAAAAATTGATTAATGCAAGAACGCTACCAAAAATGCACATGTATATATATCATGTAAGATTCACATGTGATTATTTCATGTAAAATTCACATGTGATTATATAATATGATATTCACATGTGATTATATAATATGATATTCACATGTGATTGTATATTTTAAAATTCAAATGTGAAATTGACAAGAAAATTTTTAAAAATAATTAACGAAGAACACACACATAAAATGCATGTGTGTATATAGACGTAACATATATGTGATTCATTTGTGATTTACATGTGAATCACATGTAATTCATATGTTATTCACTTGTGATTTACATATGAATCACATGTAATTGATATGTGATTCACTTGTGGTTTACATGTGAATTACATGTGATTAATATGTGAATTACATGTGAATCACATGTAATTCATATGTGATTCACTCGTGATTTACATGTGAATTACATGTGATTCATATGTGATTTACATGTGAATCACAGTAATTCATATGCGATTCACTTGTTATTTACATGTGAATTACATGTGATTCATATGTGAATTACATGTAATTTACATGTGAATCACATGTAATTCATATGTGATTCACTTGTGATTTACATGTGAATTACATGTGATTCATATGTGAATTACATGTGATTTACATGTGAATCATATATAATTCATATGTGAACTACATGTGAATCACATGTAATTCATATGTGATTCACTTGTGATTTACGTGTGAATTACATGTGATTCATATGTGAATTACATGTGAATCACATGTAATTCATATGTGATTCACTTGTGATTTACATGTGAATTACATGTGATTCATATGTGAATTACATGTGATTTACATGTGAATCACATGTAATTCACTTGTGATTTAAGTGTATCACTCACTCATATATACAATTATAATTGAAACAATCATGGGGAAAATACCATAAGTAGTTCATACTGAACATGCCTTTTGGACTTCGATCAGTGGCAACATATCTCCTGTATTGTACTAACTGAGAGTCCGCACATGCCTCTAGTTTAATAGCAACACCATCACCAAGAAAGAAAACGGATTCTCCTTCGGGAGACACCGACACCATTTCATTTCACCAAAATCTAGTTTGTAAGCACTGAAGCACTTCTCATATTGTTCATTCCGATCAAACACAAAAAGGCTTTCATCCGAACTTACAAACTGCTGAAGCACTAAGCTCAAACCCGGCTTTGGAGAATTCTTGAATTCAAGTAAAGTTAGTTTGGGTTTTAGACCAAGTCTCATTTCACATACACGATAACCATTGTGTAGGGTATATAATTAATAAACAATACATTCAAGGGCATTTTAGACATTTAATTTTTTAAAATGGAGAAATTAACACCAAAAATAGTTCAATACCCTATTGAATTTAAGAAAAATGACTACAGACTTAAGAGTGCAAAATACAAATTGTATTATATATCCATGGTTGTGTGGGTCCCTAATGCAGATTTTTCTTTTATAAAGACAAAAGTAATAAAACAAGAAACTTACTGCAACTCTTGAAGCATGGTGGCATACTAAAGAAACATCCAGTAACAAGAGACAAACATGACGTGCTACCCTCTGTAGAAAACAAACTGATCAGCACATTTGAATAAAATCCCTTGACAAAATTGATATTTTAATTTATTTTCTTACCTCATCTATTGGTTCAATATTTTGATATAATCTCTCCAAAATGGAGAAAGATTTTTCATATTCATGTAGATGGTAGAGGATGACTTCCTAAAGAGAAACAACATGGAAGAAGAAAATCAGCTAATAATATAACCATGGAAAGATAAAAGACTACAGACTTAAGAGTGTTATTTCTTATTAGTTGATTTTCTCCATCAGATCATTTCATTCATTCCATTCTACTCTATTACAATTTTCTCTATCAATTCTATTTACAGTACTTGTATTTTCTTCTAATATAATTAATAAAAACTGACAGAAAATTAACTATTGTCATATAAATTTAAAAATTCAAACCAAAGTTAGACGATGAAGAGAAAATGGAAAAAGTACATGTTATAAATAGTTCTTGGATAAAGACATCATAAGTCAGTTCCAAAAATGAGACAAGTGACGAAATACTGAACTTCATCATAATAAACACTTCCTCTTTCCATCTCTAAACCCTAAACTTAAACTATATCCTTTTACGAATCAATAGTATTTGTTCCAAAATAACAGATGCTAGTGGATCTTGAAGTACTAACAAAAGGAGTTTCAAATTTGTTGTAGAAGGAGATTAGGATTCAGAAAGAAAAAAAAATATAACAATGCAATAATTCATGCCTTGAAAAAAAATACTAAATCATTGATTTTTAGAGCATCCACAATAAGAGAGAGGATTGATGTGACATTGAATGGGAGTTAGATGCATTATAAGTTGACGATGGGAGGTTGAATCAATGGATGTAATATATTTTTAATTTTTAATCATTAAACAAAGTATGATGAGTTACCGGTTGTGATCTTGTTTCCACATCTTTACAGAACCGAATTGCATAATCAGTACCCTAAATACAATGAAATCAAGATCAATATGTAAAAAAGAACTATCCCAAATTCTAACAACTAGAATGAGATCAAGATCAATATGTACAAAAGGAAATTACCACTCCATCATAACTCAATAGGGTGTCCAAACCAGCTACTCTGTATAATATGTTAGAGAAAACAAACTTTTTTGCCACCAAGTAATACATAATTTAATTCCAAATTGCAGTTACTTGAGGAGGATAAAAAATCATGAATGTGGCTAGAATTGTCAAGAGCATAACAACTGGTTGCAGGTACAACCACAGAACCAACGATGCTTGTTTGATAAAGGAAAGCTGGAAATGAAACAAGAAAATGAAGTTCTCATTCAAAAAAAGAACAAAACTGATATACATTCAACAGTTTGCTTCTTAATTCTTACAGAGATGAGTAAATAACTACAAATTCATCAATTACCTGTAAAAATGGCTGAGAAAAAACTGATCATTAACAACATTAGAGCATATGTTAGCCTTGGGTACCAAGAGAATACAAGCATACCAGATGCTTAAAAGGCTATAGTAATCCATTTAAATTGTATTATGAAAATTTATTTGTGGAAAACGACTAGTTTCCGACATTATATTCTATGCTCAAAAAGTTGCAATCTTCCACAAATAAAAATATCTCCTACATTTCTCAAAATATAACCAAAAAAATTCTTCAGAATCCTAAATTGAAATTGCTTCATCATTCATGAAGTCAAAGTGAAGTTAACATGTGATATTTCTCACTGAGGCATTTCATCGAACATGTTGAGTGTAAATAAATATCTATATTTTTCAATAACACAGGTGTCTATTTTTACACCTACAATCAACACAATGATTTAACTCTTTTTAAAAACATATTGACTAAACAGGTTCAACTTAACGATTAGGCAAAAACATTCATAAAGGTCAAACAAATGTCAAGAATCAACAATAGAAACAGATGATACCTAAATTTTGATCGACAATGGATCATCTTCATCGTTCAGGTCTTCAATCCACAGTTGAGGCCGAGATGAAGTCGGCGATTACGGTGTACTCCGGGGAACGAATTGATGGAGGATAAACGATTCAAAATCAAAGCATCTTCAGTGGAGTTTTTTCTATGAAGAACATGAGATCAAGGAGTTCAGCAACAATGAAACTCCGATCGTTGGGGGATTTCAGATTTCATATAGAATGATGATCGATAATGATAGTCTGATCGATTGGGATCTGGAAATCGACGATAAATGTGGTTCGTCGTTTATCTTCACCGTATTCGTGTGAGTAGAAGCAATTTCAGAATCGAAAGCATGGAATTGGATGAAGGATTGGAGGCAATTCGGTCGAGGTGAGTCGTCGGAGGATGGATCGTAGGTTTGAGCGAGAGAGGAAAACGAGGAGGAGAGAGAGAGAGAGAGATGCAAAATTATTTTATCAGATATTAGATTTAAGAAATCATTTAATTATACTTTTATTCCTATAATACCCCTGACTGAATTAATTAAGATACCCCTCCTTTTTTTGTCTACTTATTTACAAAAACATCACCTTGCATCTCGACCCTTCCTTTTTTTGATCCAACGTTCCACCTTTAGTTCTCGGGTTCTCGGAAAACTTTGAGTTCTCAAATGATCATTCCTCTCTCTCTCTCTCTCTCTCTCTCTCTCTATATATATATATATATATATATATATATATATATATATATATATATATATATATATACCCTTAAGGGTATATAAGCTTAGATACCCAAACTCATAATAATACGTCGTTTTGTTTGATATATTCATTATAATATTGTTAAACTTCAATCCTTAACTTGATTTATATTCAATATTTTTAAATTTTCACTATTATCTTCCTTTTACATCACATCTTTTTGTCGAACCCTTACTAGGCTATATATATTATTGTTGCAAATGACAATTATGTAAGAGGAAGATAAATATGAAATTTATAAAAATCTTTGAAGTAATTCAAGTTAGAAGTTGAATTATAAGAACATGGACAATTACATGTCTATATATGATACAAAACGATATATATGATGAGTTTGGGTACCTAAACTTATATACCCTTAAGGGTATATTCACTTTTCCCTATATATATATATATATATATATATATATATATATATATATATATATATATATATATATATAGCTGAGTTATTGTGTGAACCAAAAAATTTATGAGTACTTGCAAACTCATCATTTTTCAACACCAAAAACACCAATCTTCTTAAAATGGTGCATCTAAGCCATATCTAGACTTTAAAAAAAAAATTGACAATTTTTTCTATTTATTTTCGAAATTTTTTTGTATACACAATAAGCAATTGTACGGACTGCTGATGAGCACAATCAACAGCCATACAAAAAACCAAAATTAAAAAAAAAAATCATCAAACCTTTTTTTTAGCCTAGATATGGCTTAGACGGACCATTTGGAGAAAATTGGTGTTTTTGATGTTAAAAAGTGATGAGCTGATTATGAGTTTGCAAGTTATCACAACGGTAATGTATTGTATAATTAAATAATTACATTTGATTTGGGGGACGGAGCTGGACATGATCAAGCATATATTCTTTTTATATAAATATAAATTTAAAAAAATAAATCATACCCTAAGAGTTTACAACAGTGATAAGTTCGACTTCTTAGGGGAAAAAGTTATTAGCTGTTAAGATGATAACATATCCACTAGACACAAGGAAGGAAGGTCTTTCATGAATAATTAATACAATCGATTGGTAAAGAAAGGGGGAGACTAACTAATACAATCGATTGCGACAATCTGATGTCCCGCAATGGCATGGCAGCGTCCTTACAGTGCCATTGTTGTCTACAACACTGTCAAGGGCATAACCATAGTCATACGTAAGTTCCTGATTCAAACAAACAATCTCATCAAAAAACAAAAAAAAAAACCATATATAATATAATATAATATAAAATAAAAAGCTTCCTTAATAATAATCAAGAAAATGTACCTGCATGGGGGGTATATTGTCAGAAGCAAAGAGAAGTATCCGGGCAAGTCTAAGATGATGGTGTTCACTTAGAACACATTGAACAAAAAGGTTTGGGTCGCAGCTGTGGTTGATGAACCTGGCAACATTTCCAACACGCCCTGCATCTATGCAGAACTCAGCCTCACCCTCATTCATGCTCTTTTCATCCAATTGACTACTTACAGATTCAGATACATCTCCCAACCTCCTCTGAAATTTATACCAAATATCCCCATCTCAGAATGCATGTTACATTATATATATATATATATATATATATATATATATATATATATATATATATATATATATATACCTCTCTTCCTCCAATCCCTTTGATTGTTTGGCAGCAATCGATTTCAAATATGTAATCATTTTCAGAAACATTATCCAGCTCATTTGTCCTCCTCAGCTCTCCAACATATTCACACACCGGGGCACCACAAGGGATAAAATCTTTGCTCCTCACAGCCCATCCTCTATTGGAGGTACGGAACACCTGTTTCCATAACCATTAATAAATCAATCACCTAACTAACTAGTAATACATTTTATCCCTCAAGTGTAAAACAAAAACAAAAACAAAAACAAAAAAACCTCAAGTTGATATTTTATCCCTCGCTGGGATATGCGGTTGATGCAACCGGGTCCACATCCACAGTTTGGCCCACATTCAAACACAACATCCTTGGCTTCAATCAATCTACAAGCATGTTAAATAAACTCTCAACATATCATAAAACCTTTTTACTTCAGTACAAACCAACTAGTGTGTGTGTATATATATATCTATATATATATATATAATATATATATATATATATATATATACACATTGGGTTGAATACCAAAGCAAAGGAATACCTGCCCCCAGAGCTTCGTACATATGGAAAATCAAAACCGTTAAGTTTAGCGCAAGCACAGGTCCTTGGATCCGTACAATTTCCTTTGCATTCGCATCCTTGAGCATTTGTAGGGAGGCTCAGATTGCTCAACACTTGATTATATTTTGTATACGTAAACCCTATCATATTTTCAAAACAACTTCCATAAACACAAATTATTTTGCTACAACCAAACTCGTCATAACAATCTCAGTAGTCAACTTATTTATTGACTTCAACTTAACCACGTGTCATGTGATTGTGTGGTGGATGAACCGTAAAAACAAGGTTTGAGATGCAAGGCTCCATTATGTAAGTAAAAAGATCATTTGTGCATCACTATCCAAACAAAAAGACTCGACAAGTATCAAATTGCGGCTGAAGAAAGGAGACTAAAACTTACACAAACAAACAGAACAGAACAGGAGGCAATCAGTGAAGGTATCATCCAACCTTCATTCATTCAATTTCATCAATATCATACTTATCCAGATTGAAAGGTAACAAAAAGTTAACTGGTTTGTTACAAGACAGGAACGTCAAAGGGATGATAATGTCTTTAAAGACAATCAATATCAATATGGATTTAAAATTTTCTGAGGATTACAAATACTACATATAGATATAGTAGCTTAGTGTGCATGCTATATTTGCTATTGTATTGGATATGGTTTGATGCTAAAAAAATGTGTTATTAAATCAAATGTAAGTCATGCAAACTGTGGAATAATAGTTGCACAGACAAACTTACCGGTAATAATGGTATCATCAATTGTATTGATAACAGGTATACACACATCTTCTTGACCTTCAGTTATATCCAGGCACACCAACCTTGCAAACATAATCATCATCATCATCATTTTTAAGCAGTAAATATGTTCACAGCCATGCATTATTAAAGGTAATAGTCATACTCAGGTGCTTTAATAGGAACCCTTGAGGAACGCCCGTTGCTGCACTGAACCTGTATTATTATCGATTCAAATGCAAAGTAGATATTAATATAAGAATGCATAACAAGGCACATGGATATTCATCCATGCAAGTGAATCATCACATTATCAAACCCCCCTCAAATAGTTACTATTTTTATGGAGTATTATTCACAAGGATGGGGGGCTTCATCCTACTCAGGACACCATCATAATCTCTGTTATGTTACCTTTAGTGCCTCTATGTTGACATATAGAGCAACATTTGTATATGGGATGAAACAGATTGTATGAAGAATAAGATATAACATAGAAATGTATGTTGGATGTACAAGAGAAAGAGATACAAGTAGGAAAAAAGAAAGAGAAATTAGGTAACCTGATTGGTTGTCAATTTGGGCTGTCCTTGAAGGCGCTTCAGGCGATACTTATAAACAAGCATACCGGAGGCGGAGACACCTTCTGCAGGCCAGCATTCAGACACCTTGTACAAGCCGTAATACGTGTATAATCTCAAACTCAAACTCAACGACTGATGCTCACTTGTACTTGTGTGTCTGTGTCCTCCAACAACCCTCACAGGTACACAATGTTCAATACTGTTCTGTGTACATACATACATACATATAAACATATTTAAATGGAAAATGCCACCTTCACTTTAATCAGACGATGGTGGCAGATGTTCTCATCCCCTTGCTTGCACCTTATTACTTGTGAGTAAATTGTGCCAGAATCAGCTATGCAAAAATCACATTGATAGCTTACAATAGCCCAACATGGCATGGCAGTCAGCCTTATTTAATAGATATTTCCCATTGCATGCATACTCGTAAACAAAATATATTGGTGTTTCCGGTTTCTACTTTTATGGTCAAAATCAGCATTTCCTTAAAATAAAAATTCCTTCAGCCGGATACAAGTTATCATCAACATTAATGCAAGTGCAACACTACACCATGTATCTAATTTACCAAAGGGATTAAAGACTATTAGTTAAATGATTATAAAAGGAATGTTGGAAGCAGATACAACTCACCTTTAAAGCCAAATCACCACATGCCATCTTTTGATGTTTATTAACCATTACATCATTTCCACCTTGACCAATATAAACAATATCTTCTAAGTTATCCAGATCATCTTCGCATTGTGTGGACAATACAACTGCCACAGCTAATGGAAATGTGTACCCTTTGAACTCCTCCTGCAAAAATATTAAAGAAACAGTAAACCACAGAGAAAGAGTGATAAACGGTTACAAAAAATCTGGATAGAAAAGCCCATACCATTTTGCTGTACGATTCTCCCATATAATCAATGTCATTAAGCCAGTGACTATGAATACCTAAAGCAACCATTTCAGCTCGTGAATAGAATTGATAACCAATGTCAATACCTGCAAATTAAACACCAAAAGTTCATCAAATGACACCTTAACCAGCTCTAACCAATTAATTGAAAAATCCATTGTAATTGTTAGTAATTCATTTTTTCACCAAATATCATTTGAAAAGTCCATTTGGATTTTCTAATTCAAGGTTGGAAAAAGGAAAATAGAAACAAAAGGCTGAAGGAGATAACATTGAAGCATGTTCTATGCATTGTAGTTGTAGATACAACCAACATTGAATCATGTTTTGTCATGGAAATTTCAATGATTTTATGTACAAACTACAAAGACGGCCAAGATTAACTATATTCTTCTTCAACTTGCAGTTGGCCCTTGTATATATGTTTTTTTCTCAACAATGTGTTTCTATTACCAATATTTGAAAAGCTCGTAGATCAAAATGAAGTCTGTCATGATCTTGTATGGCCTAAACAGTGGAACGGATGACATAATATTAACGAGCAATGATCTACCAAATTAAGCAAGAGACTAGGATAAGATTAAGAAGTTGAGATTTAACACCTGGTGACACTATAATATTATATGAAAGGGAGAGGAAATGAGTTCATATGTCACACAGACACACATAGTATAGTATGATTAGTGGGTTCATGGCAACAACACTTTGAAGCTACCTATGTATAGAATAGAATACTAATTACCAAGGTACCTAAAGAAAAAACCTGGAAAAAGAAGAGATGTTTACAAGACATGAGAGAAAAGTTTTGAATGTGATGGTAAAAAAAAAACATATTTTTTTGCAACGGAGCATCAGGTCCACCTCCACCATTTGGTGAAATTCACCTACCAGGCAAGCCCCTTCTGGCTTCTGCCCACCCCTATGGGGAGGAGCTTACCAACACACATGTGTAGGGAGAGTGAAAAACTAAATGTTGTAGCACGAAAGTGATTAGTACTTGGAAGATAAAATTAAGCAATTATTCACCTACCAGGCAAGTGACCAAATCTTTTTGTAGGGTACAAAACTTCATTAAACTCCAACATCTGCATCATTTACAAGTCAACACCATCAGTATACTGTATACATAACATACCAAACACCACACAAAAAGTTCAACTTTAAAGCATCCCACAACACCACCCACATAATAGACCACATGCCCTAACAAGTACAACACTGCAACATACAGCACATAAACCAACTGGGATTCAAAAAATAAATAACCATGTAAGTGCAATTATTTTCCATGAATTACAATCCCATGCAAAGCAAAGCAAACAAAAGATACCTTAGATATGGCCTTCAAATCAGGACGCTTGATAGATCGCACACATATACCCTCTTTCTGCATGTGTTTCATGTTAGTGAAGTCCATAGCAATCCAGCAATAACATAGATTGAACATGTGAACTCATGAAGTCAAATCATATTTCAGTACTAATAAAATGAAATGCAACCGACAACACAACTATGCAAAAAATAAATAAACACCTTATATATATATATATATATATATATATATATATAATTACCTTCAGATCAAGATGCTTTGCAAGTTGTTTACCATCATATTCACATACACCCTGTTCCTGCATGTGTTTCTAATGTCAGTGCAATAATGCAAACAACGAAGAAGAATCTATTGGAGCAAATATAGCACACAGAAGGTTAGGAATTTATGAAGCAATGTATAACGCCCTCGAAGTTATGAGGTATTGAGTTATCTTCAAGAATTTTGTTAGACCTTCCCTATGGTTTACATATTTTAGGAGGAGATAATGAATGCAGTCAAAATCAAGATTCATAGGAATTAGTTACATAGCACGGGAGTTAGTTACAGAACTGTAAGGTTAGTTGCGACTTGTGAGAGGTTAGAAGTGAGAAGTGAGTTAGTTGGGAAGGGTAAGTATAAGCACAGGGGTGAACCAATAGGAGAACATTATTCTTTGTAGTTTGTAGTTGAAATAAATCGCCGCAATTGCACCAATCGGTATCAGAGCCATAATCGGCCATGGTAACAAGATCTGTAGCAAATTGAGTGAGTACAATCAAAGATTGATTCCTTGGAAGGAAGTGTACGAGCCATAATTCAACAACTTAGTACATTGGTTCAATAACAAGAAGAATCGAGAAAAAATAAAAAAGGAAATCAGGGCGAATCATCATTTAAAGAAGGAGGAAGATCTCGGAATAGGGATCGTTCACAGGACTAGAGACAAGTTTGTTCTTGGTAATAAAAGGGAGCCAATTGGAAATACCAATATTCGATGAAACTTTGGGTTTTTAGAGCAAACCGCTATTGTGCCCTAAACCGCTTGACAAATGAGTTGTTGAAATACATGAAAATGTATCAATGGCGATGTTCTCAGATATAATCAATGGGATGCCATTCAAAAAGAAATACATGAAAATGAGTTGTTGAAAACAATTAAATCGGAGCTTGCTGAACAAACAGGCTTCACGGTTCAGCAAAAACTAGTGTGGCATAAGGATCGTTTGGGATGAAACCTGTAACTGTAACGTTCCCGAAAACCAAATTTGATCGAAAGTCAATCCCGAACTGAATTAATATTACCGAATCCCGAATTTCGTACCGAATACCGTCCTATCACAGACGTCGTCCTTAGTTCCAATAATGTTGGAGAAAGGACGTTACAAATAGTTATCGAAAGTACATCAAAGAATTCGTTAGGAATTGAACAGTATAAAATCTTAGACGGTTGGGTCTTCTAATGTGAGTTTAGAACAGACTTCCTTGGATGGGCACCATCTACGTAGTCCGTCGTGGATAGATTGAGCAAATTCGCCCACTTCATCACACTCAAACATCCCTTACAACCAACAATACCCTAAGTCCACACCAAACCTTGGTTCCAAAAAGCATCAGGTGCGTTAAGGGGATGGAAGCGTCATGCTTCAACCACCAAGGCGTCCACTCCAGTATTGACAAAATACTTATAATTTACATATTTTACCTTGTAAATACTTAGCAATAAAAATACTTTTACTTATAACCAAAACAAAACTAGTTCTAATAGTGAGATTACAATCATAATCGAATGCAATCTTGAATAACAGAAGTGAGCACATAAGTACTATTAGGAAGAGAAAAACAACTTCTCCAATACCTTCAATCAATATGTGAAAGCTATCATAACTACCCCACCACTATATATGTTACACAAAAACAAGCTAAACTAAAAAAGAATATATATATATATATATATATATATATATATATATATATATATCACTAGGATTTGACCAACACTTGATTGAGGATCAATCAATCAAACTCATTAAAAGCACACCAACTAAACCCTGATTACACAAAACAGTATGGTGAAACCCGAAGAGATATTAAAGTGTCAAAAAACAAGTCCCGGGCAACGGGAAGTATTGACTAAATGGCAAGATTTGCCCCTGGGAGGAATTTGAAATGGTTAATGATCAATTTATGAACTTTCACCTTACGGACAAGGTGAATGTTAGACTCTTCCTTACAGTTTACATATTCTAGAAGGAGATAGTCAAAGTCAAGACTCAAAGGAAATAGTAACAAATAAGGGAGTTACTTACAAAACTGTAAGGGTGGAGGTTACCCTTGAGAAGCGAGTTATGAGTGGGGGGACATAAGTGATATCGGTAGTATAAATAAAGAGGCAAACAGATAGGAGAGCATTGTTCTTTGTAACTGAATGTTCAGGAGACGTCCTACCTATCAAAAATTTGGTTTTACAGAAATAAATCGGTGTAGTTGCACCACATGTATTATTTTATCTAATTTAAAGAGATATTTAATAACCTTGGTATTTCGGTATATTGGTCAAGAATAATTAATGATATAAAAGTGTTTGGGAGAAATATTAAGTAAAGTATTTATAGTTGAATTATAAACTTTGGGCAGAATTTGAGAAAATGGGACTTTGGTGGCCAAAGTTAAAATTTGAGAACTTAAGAAAGCTATATAAACTGGGCTTATGTATTTCACTTCAGGCCGATAACCGCTATTGCACCACAACTGACTGCAGGTAAAGATAAGGTAACAATAACATAGAAAGATGTTGATACCACATTTTGGAAACAAATACCACACAGGAGATGGCTTATTTGACAAATTTTAAGCAGTAGCACGCCAAATCATTGGTGTGTATATGTGTGTGTGTGTGTATTATATATATATACATACATATATATACCGGTTTTGTATCATTCTTTCGCTGGGTTGCTGTCTATATATTTGTATGCATAAAACAAGTTTAAAACTATGAGGATTACATGCTTATATGCGTAGGTCATGCCACTTTTATGTTAAATTGCTGCCTTCCAGGTTATATGGGTGTTACAGAATTAGTAATTGATATCGATAACAACTAACAACCAAATAAGATAACAAATTAGAAAAGATGAATGACAACCAGGTATTGATGGTGAGGAAGTAAGAAACGATAATACAACAAAAAAAAATTATCCCTAGACCAAAAGATAATAAAACAAAAACAAGATTCATCTACAACCATCAATTTTCCCATGGTCCTACTATGCTTTCACAGGATAAACTTAATATAAATGCATAAAAACAAGAATAACTGTGATGAGCAGCGATGGGAGTTATCAAATTATCTTGTGTCGGTCCTACGCCTCCCAAACCCCAATGATGAATGCCAGTGACATTGTCACCACCAATCAGATCCACAGAATCAAACAATTCATGCAAAAGAAGGATCTCTTGGGATTAAAACAGATCTCAGATGATCAGTACACATAACATAGGTCTTACCTAGTTGCTCATAGGTTTACTACTTGGATAGGTCAAATAATTGGTAGTAACGCATGTACTAGGTGCACTCAGCCCTACTGCCGGAAGTAATGCTCAAAAACAAGAGATAATAGTCATACAAGTTAAGTTGTGGATGACAAATACCTGGAAAAAGTGAAGGTAATATTTATTGTATATTCTAAGAGCTTTTTTGACTCTTGCTTTATCATTTCTGGTGTGAGCCACATATGAAGTAACACAGCAATCCAATGATTTCTTGTCAGTAGCCGAATCTGAAGTTTCCAAGCCACCTTTGGGGGAGTGTTCCTTGCTAGTTATGCAAGAAGCTGAGGCATCCAAAGTTGTCACCATGCTCTTTAAAAGATTTGGCTTACAACTTGTTGGGGAACATTTGATCTTTCTTTCAGCAACACTAACAGCATCTTTCTCATGCAATTCTAATAAACTCTTAAGCTTTGCAGCATCAGAAGTGATAAAGTCGATTGGGTGCTGTTGTGAGGCCTTGCGAGGGGGGCCGTAAAAAGGTTTTTTACCCTCAGGGATTTTTCTTAACCGCGGACTACATCTTTTCTTCACAGGACATTCCTCGGACACCATCTTCTGGACTCGCTGCCCAAATTTTTTGGTCACGGAGACATCCAGTGTCCCATTGCACAAAGATTTATCAGAGCCCATAGAAAGCTGCCAAAAATTATACCTTCGATCTCTCAAATAGGGTTTTTACCACTTGTAAAATCAAAACCCTGAGACAGAGACACAGCATTAGCATAATAAGAATTAATTTGCTACCACCAACCCCCAAAAAAGCAAGGGTTTTTAAATACAGAAACATTCATCGGTGTTGACAAATTGGTATGTAGATGTTTATGGCTTTGGAATTGAGAGAGAACTGAGTCATGCATGAGATGGGGGAAGAGTCGAGATCGCAATTTCAGAAAAGATAATTTTGAAATTAATAAAGAAAAAAGATATCGCATTAAGAAGAACCTGCAATGTACATAGGGATGGATGATGGACGATCAACGAGGGAAGATTGCGAGGAGATGAACTTGGGAGTGTAAGAAAAATGATTTGAGGGCGTATGGATTTTCTTGGGCTTTGAGGAAAACCGAAGAACAATCAACAATTCAAAAAGATGCGATAGCTGCCATTTCCAACAAGCGGCAAGCGGGAGATACATGATATGGAAACATGAAGTCGTGAAGGACCCGCCCGAGAAAGACCAATACTCACTGTTGGGCTCTCGCATATCGTCGCAATGGATATTAGCCCATTTCAGCTTTCTTTCTTACAAACACAAATGAAAAAAAAAATGAAAAGGGTAGTGTAAAACCCGTTTATTATACGGATTGATTAAAAAAAATAAAATATTAAAATGTAAATAATAAGTATTTTTTAAAATAAAATTTTGAAATAAGGAATGAATAAACATATTAATTGAAATTTATTATAATATTTATTACATTTGATATTTTACATATATAAAAGTATAAGATTATGTGGCTTTTTAATTTTAAAAATTGAAAAAAAAACCATAAATTGACATGTGGATATTATTTATTTAAAAAATATCACAAAATGACAAGTGTCAAAACTCATTAGAGATTGACATGTGGCAAAAAAACCTTCATTTATTAGAGAAAATTTGTGTTTTATATATTTGTACCGTACAAACATATACAACACATATTGTTGTGTATGGCCAAAAATTGTTGTGTACGGATCACTACCCAAATGAAAATAGTGCAAAAGTGCAAGAGTTAGGTCAGTAAATAATATTTTTTTCTATATATAATAATTTAATTTATGTTTTAAAATATTATACGTATAATCATATAAAATAAAAGTTATTATATATTGGAAAAAAACTATTATAATAGCGTTTCCATTTTGAATCTTGGGAACCACATGTAATATTGTTTGTTTATTTTCATGTCAAATATTCAACTAGTGTTATACTCGTCCGGTGGACAGTTGATTGGTGTAATAAAAAAAATTGATTTTATTTTCTTCTATATCACCATTCTGTAATTTGTTCTCATATTAGCATTATACAATGATAAATCTACCCAATTAAACAACATATGAATGAATAAAAGAATAACAATAGATTAAAAGACAATAAAATAAAAAGAATAGCAATGAATTAAAAGACAATAAAAATAAAATTGATATTCAAGTGGGTCTCACAAAGTATATTTGATATTCAAGTGCGTCTCACAAAGTATATTGTGAGCTTCATAGGGTGCAAAACCTTGAATGAGATGGTTGAGAAGGCTCGTGAGCGGGAGATGGAGTTGGACTTCCGCACCAAGCGGAAGCCTGAGCAGGCATAGACAGCAGTAGGTCAGGCTAAAAAGCCTAAGATATCGGATTCATCCAGTAGGGGCCAGCAGGGTCGTGGCTGGTTTGCCAAATGTGGGAGATCTCATGGTGGAGTTTGTCGGGGGACGGCCCTGGTATGTTATACATGTGGTCAGCAGGGCCACGTGAGTAGGGATTGCCCCAAGAAGGGCATGATTTGTTTCCACTGCAACCAGACTCGCCATAAAAAGGCCGATTGTCCGAGGTTACTGGTAGGGGGAGGAGCAGTGGCGGCGCGTGCGCCCGCCATGATGAGGATTACTAATGGCCGCCCTGCTAAGGTGGATGCTCCAGCGGTGAAGAGTTGCGCATTTCAGTTGACCACTGAGGAGGATCGGGCAGCGCCAGACGTTGTGGCTGGTATGTATTTTATCTCCCTGCTCTAGATTTATTGCATTGCTTATGTGTATATTGTGCTTATGTATAGGGACCTTTTTGGTCAATGGTTTGTCTGCTCACGTTTTGTTTAATTCGAGAGCTACCCGAACATTTGTATCTCTTACTCTTAGCAAGAAGTTTCGGGATGCGTCGGGGACTTTGGATTCCCCGCTTGAGGTTGAGATTGCGGACGACCACACTGTGAGTGCTGCGAGGGTGTATCGGGATTGTGTCCTGAATGTGCTTGGGGAGAGGTTTCGTGTTGATCTAGTCCTGATACCATTGCGAGGGTTGAAGGTGATTGTCGGGATGGACTGGTTAGGGGCCAATGGGGCCATGATCGATTGAGAGCGCCAGTTGGTGAGGGTTCGAACCCCAAGTGGGGGAGAACTGGTTATTCATGGAGAGAGGGCCTCGCAAGGGCCAACCCTCTGTTCAGCTGCGAGGGCTAGGAGATTTCTGCAGCAGGGTTGTACGGGATTTCTGGCATATATCTCGGATACGAGGGTTGAGACCACGACGGATTTGGGCAGTGTACTGGTGGTACAGGAGTTTCGGATGTCTTTCCCGAGGAATTACCCGGAGTGCCTCCGGAGAGGCAGGTGGAGTTTCGCATCGATTTAGTGTCAGGTGTCGCTCCGATAGCAAAGGCACCGTACCGGCTAGCTGCGCCCGAGATGCAGGAGCTATCTACGCATCTTCAGGAGCTGCTAGACCGAGGGTTTATCCGTCCAAGCAGTTCCCCGTGGGGAGCTCTGATCCTGTTCGTGAAAAAGAAGAACGGGTCCTACGGGATGTGCATTGATTACCGAGAGTTGAACAAACTAACGGTGGAAAACCGTTATCCGCTACCGAGGATCGACGATTTGTTCGATCAGCTGCAGGGTGTGTCTTGGTTTTCCAAGATTGATCTTCGGTCGGGATACCATCAGATGAGGATTCGGGATGAGGATATACCGAACACATTTTTCAGGACCCGGTACGGGCATTATGAGTTTGTGGTGATGTCATTTGGGCTCACCAATGCCCCAGCAGCGTTCATGGATCTCATGAATAGAGTGTGTAGACCGATGTTGGATCGGTCGGCGATCATTTTTATTGATGATATCCTGGTCTATTCTAAGACCAAGGAGCAGCGTGAGCAACATTTGAGGGAGGTATTAGAGACATTGAGAACAGAAAGGCTGTACCCCAAGTTCTCAAAGTGTGATTTCTGGCTGCAGGAGGTGCAGTTTTTGGGGCACATCATCAACCAGGAGGGCATTTCGGTTGATCTAGCCAAGGTTGAGGTAGTGATGCGGTGGGAAGTACCAAAGAACGCATCTGAGATCCGTAGCTTCTTGGGTTTAGTGGGCTATTATCATAGATTCATCCAGGATTTCTCCAAGATTCCGCTTGACCAAGAAGAATGTGACATTTCAATGGTGCACAGATCACCAGTTGGCTTTTGAGACCCTGAGACAGAGATTATGTGAGGCTCCGATTCTAGTACTACCTGAGGGGTTGGATGACTTAGTAGTGTACTTCGATGTATCGATCTCAGGGTTAGGCGCGGTACTGATGCAGAGGGGGCATGTGATTGCTTACGCCTCGAGACAGTTGAAGCCTCATGAGGCGAATTACCCCACTCACGACCTGGAATTGGGGCAGTGGTGTTTTCCCTCAATATTTGGAGGCACTACTTGTATGGAGTATGGTGCACTATTTATACTGATCATAAGAGTTTAAAATATTTGATGGATCAGTAGAACCTCAACATGCGACAGAGGAGGTGGTTGGATGTGACATCCCCAAAATCACGGCCAAAAAAGACCGGTTTCATTTATGCTTTTAAATAAAATCAGAGTAATCTTTTGATTAAAAGAGTTGCGGAATTTGTTCCCAAAACAAAATATGATAAGAATTTGTCAAAGCATTTCATAAAGAAATATATTTCATTATATAACAAAACCTCGGGATGTCATGTTCTGATACAGACCAAAAGCATAAACAATACAAAATAGACCTTACAACAGTTACATATAACTACGGGTCTATAATCCAAAAAATATCTTGACAATGTCATCCAACTTATGCTCTCGTGCCACTACCTGTAATACAAAGAAAACTGAGTGGGTCAGGCTTGGGAGCCTGGTGAGCATATAGGGTTTTCAACCCACAATAAATAATTATATTTAGTTCATCAACCAACAATAACCCGATTACCCCTTCCCGTTATCCTCACTTTATGTCCCTAAAACAACAACTATCACAAGGGACCTAATCTAGGATTTTCATCGGGACGGACATTACTGCAAAGGGGTTTCCTTGACAATAGATGTCCTAAAGGCAACCATGAAGGGGATAGAGTACACCGATGAACACATCGTTCACAACACCTACAGGTTATGAGCCTGCTAGCGTTCCAATGTACTGTCTAGAAAGAGTCTGTGGTCGTCATCCATACTCCGCTAGATGACTAGATCAACAACAACATCGAGGCCTCTCATCATTTTATTTCATCATACACCAACTGTCTACCCATGTTCTACCCAACATATTAGTAGATAAAATATATACATTTATATACAGCTTAAAACCTGTACAAAACATCCGTTCAACAACTAGTTCAAATAGACAAATAATATATAAACACATTGCACGTATTTTATAAAGAATACTTCATATATATGTGTTAGAAGAAAACGAAAATACACTCACATGATAAGACGATGATCGGACAGCACCTCGTCTCTTAAAACAATTGTTTTCGATAAAACTGTGATGTTTTCTTGAAAATCGGGATTCTCGCGGGCAGAGTTTCGGCTCGGAAACTTTACTTCTCGGGATCTTCGGGGCTTCGGGACTTGCTTCGGGTCTCGGGAATGATATCGGGGCTTCGGGGGTATTTCTTGCACGCAAAACGAGAAAATATGGGAGAGAGAGAAGGATTTTGAGCAAAAAGATCGGCAGCCTCGCATGCCCTTTTATAGGGGTTGAACCTCGCACGTACGTTGGGAGTACGAAGCTCTACGCGAGGCGTAGTTCGGATCAGGCTTCCAGGTGGCGAACTTCGGGTGGGGCGACGTGGACTCTTCTGGACCGAGCAATGCAGCAGTACGCTGCGCGTAACCATCTCGTACGCAGGGTGTACCTCGATGTCGACATGTACGCGGAGTACACCTAGTACGCTGAGCGTACCTTTCGGATTAGATCAGGTGAGTCAGCTCTTCGGATATTATCCGAATAAATAATTAAATTTATATATTTTAATTATTTAAAAACTTCAGAAAATCATATCTTCCTCATACGAGCTCCGTTTTCGACGTTCTTTATATCCACGCGTAGGTGAGACTAAGGTCTACAACTTTCATTTAGACTCCGTCCGCAAATTTGACTTTATTTTTATTATATTATTTTTAGTAGGCCGGGACAGGAAAACTCCGTCATAAAATCATAACTTCTTCATCCGACGTCC